AAAGGGTGGTTTAAGATGAAGATTAAGAAGGGATTTTGCCAAACCATGGAAAGGCGGCAGTGAAAAGGAGGTTAATAGGAAGGAAATTAACAAAGATGGTGCTAAGGTGCTCTACAGGGAAAAGGGAATTGGCATATAGCTTAATGTCACCTTTGGCAACTTCGTGGGGAGGTGGGAGTAATGAATAGGCTAGCGGTAAAAGGGAACCTCCATTTCTTTAAACTAACAATGGAATGAGATAAAACTGGTGAGATGATCACCATAAGGGCAATCTTTCTAAAATGAAAAGAGAGGGACCAATTAAGAAAGATGTACCTCCACTCCTCATTTATCAACATGATTAGGTTCCAAACACTAGGATATTATGCAAAAACCAACACTGTGACCATAGAGGATGGTCATTTAAGATCACAAAACAGAAGATAACTACAGCATTATATAACTGCTGATCATGTTCATCACCACCGAGTCACGGAGAATCACGGCATTCATTACTGCCAGTGTATATTGTCAATGTGCAAAACAGCCAGATTTTTTAATACTTTCATGAATGTGAAATGAAACATAGTAAAGAGTTTGTGTGTATACTGAGGTAAGTTACAAACTAGTGTTCCACCTTATATATGCACAGGCTTATTTCTAACAAAATGTTGTCAGTGAATGCATGCAAGCAAGTGAATTCGCTCAGTAATATGCAAATCTTAGTCTCATTAGGATGTCTTTTAAAAAAAAAAGGACGAATCAAAATTCAGTGGCTTTTGAGAGGATCGGCTGGGCAACAGAAATTCATGGTAGAGCAGTCACCTCAAGTTATGGTGACTGCTTTCAGGAATTCCAAAGGTCATCTGGATAGAGCTCCTCAGAGGACACAAGGCCATCACAGAGGGTTATAAGGAAGAAGGTTTAAGAAAAAGGAATGATGAGGGGAAAAGGTGCAGTAAAGTTTCCACAAGGAATTTTATTCAAGGTAATCAAGGGCTTCCCAGGAGAATTTCTTTGGAAACCTTACTCCATCCACAGCCCAACCACATCAAACTTCTTTTGGTCCCCAAAACACAAATAGCATTTAAAAGGAACACAAATTTGAACCCCTTGAAGATACCAAAAATGTTTAGACATGGCGTAAAGAATTCCTTGGGGCAGGTTAAAGAGAAGAAAACACTGCCTTCAGAAGTATCTAGATCTACGTTAAGGATATGTCAAGAAACAAGAGCTTCACATTTTAATTTTTTTGTTTAATAGCGTTTTCTATGATTTTGTGGCACACACTCACGGAGGTGCTTCAAAGTACTCATGAGAAGATTCCATTATCTTTGAACTCCATTTTTCCATGAACTTTTTCAAGCCGCATCATGTATATGCCCCTGTGGCAGTGTGGTTAAATTACGGGGCTGCTCATTGAAAAGTCAGCTGGTCATAACTACCACCTGCTCCACAGATCTGCTTCCATAAGGATCACAGCTTTTGAAGCCCTGTGGGGTAGTTCAGTTGCTGAATCGGCAACAGGTTTGGTTTGTTGGGGTTTTTTTCCCACTGAAAAGGCTGAAAATGCAGTCATGCAACAAACATTTGCTAATAAACCCTTTGAATCAGTCAAGTGCTACAGGCTAAGAGGGGATTGTAACAGTAAACACCACAGGCAGTGCACCTGCCCTTTGAGATAAACTGGATAACTGATGAATGCACAACAAATAGGGTGAGGAGTCAATGTAGACAGACTGGTCTTGGAAGCAACTTTTATTTTGATGGTGGTATATTGGCAGGAATGTAAACATGAAGGAAAAAATGTGAGATAAAGTTCACATTTATCATTTTAACAATAAAGACTAAAGGTGAAGCAAAGTGACAGACATCTTGAATCTACTCCCCGCTACAACTTTGGCATCAGAATTCTCAATCTCAATACATAAAACTGGAGCAACACAGAGAAAGAGGACAGTGGCTTGTCCGTCATCAAAAGTGGCTGGGAGACCAGGATCATTGGCCGGTCTTTTGAGTTCTAAGGGGCCCTGGGAGCAGAGTGGGCTACGCACTGGGAGAAAGAGGAGGTCCTCTGCTCCCATAGAGATTTGCAGCCTCAGAGACCCCACAGGAGCAGTTCTACTGGCCCACAGGTTTGCTGGGAGTTGGATGGTAGTGGGTTTGGCTTTCAGTTCCACTCCTAAGGACGAGGTGAAAAACAGCAGCCCTCCCAAACTTTTGGGGGTTGGTGGGTCGGTTTCCAATCATCAATCTCAGCCCCGATGAACACAAGTGTGCTCACAGTGCCTAAAAGAATTTACCGAAGATCTAGAAATCAACACCAAATAATAAAAGCCTTCAGTACTTGTCACAGGCAAACCAACACATTCTTGATACATGGCAGTTGACCAGTAGTAGAAATTAACATGCCCTAATCAGGCAATCAAAGAAGGAACTATCTGGCTGCTTCAGGCAAAATAGCACAGACCTAAGCACAGACCAGGATTAATCTTTTTTACTTCAGCAAGTTAAGCTCTTTAACCTTTCTGTGCCAGTCTTCCGATTTTCACAAGAATAATTTTAATACATACTCTCCAGGGTTGCTAGGCAGATTGGGAACCTAGCATTTAGTGTTCAATGAAGGGATTATTTTACTGCTATTACTGCCCCTACTGCTTTACTATTACCAGCACTACTGTAACTAGAAGTAAACTACTACTGGCAGTATGACTTAATACTAAGTGTGGAAAATGCATCAAAAGAAGCCCTATCAATATCCAAAATATACCATAAAATTCTTTACAACCTATACAGAGACTGATCTAGAGAAAAATCTACCACTTAACATTCCAGTTTCTAATATATAAGCTTCTGCCATGATTTGTTAATGCAGGGGACAATGTTAACATTGAGTCATTAGCAACATTCCTAAATGGTCAATTTCCAATATACCCACAGCAATTATATTATTTCTGAGTTGATTTCTAAACTGAACAGTTAGAATAACAATAATTGTCTCATTTAACCAAAAGCAAGCCACTGTCCTCTAAGGAGATGTTCACTGCAAACTGGTGGTCATTTCATAAGCACAGTGAAATTACATGTATCAAAATATCCTTGGCAGAGATCATGCCCATCTAAGCGAGACTTTCAAAAAAAAATTGAAATACAGACACCTATCTAGAAATTCCAGAAGCAAAAATGTCCTAGACATAATTTGATAGCTTATGGTTCTTCCACCTGACTGCTTTAGATGTAGTTTCAAAATGCCTTTTTCTCTGAGAAAACATTAACATTGCCAACTTCACCTTCAGTTTGGTCTGGATAAAGCATGCCCCATGTAAACTGGTGACTGTGACCCTTCATCTTTTCAGGAAGCTTTACTTTGGATATTTAAGCGAAGTCTCAATTATATGGATCAAAAAGGTGGAGGTAGTGCTACAGACTTTGATCTAAGATGATTGTTGTCCTTATGAGACGGATTAGACTTGTTAATAGAATGCTGATCAGATCAAGTGGATCCCATGAGTAATGCTCACAGCTGTGACATCCAACAATGGAATTAACCTTTCAACAGGAAGCAGAGAGCCCTCCCCACAAAAGAGCCAACTGGTCAAGCTTTAGGGAGCACTTTAAAAAAAAAGAAGTCATCCTTCCGGAGGCTGCCTCCTATGGCCCCACCTCTCGATTTATTAGTTCGAGCTATAAAATAAGCCTGACAAGTGCTTAGCTTAGCGAATTACTTGAAACACTGATAGAAAGCAGGTCAGTTCCTTCGTATCAAAATGATTGTTTTCTAAAGGTCCAAGAAATTTAAAATACCTTTTCCCCTCCTCTCCCAACGCAATGCACAGATGGAAATTTACGGGTGTAGGAATTACTCTGTACGGCTTTATCTTCAAAACAAACCAACACATTTCAAACTCAACTGAAGTTACTAAATTTTCCTTTGCCCTTTGCTCTGCGGCTGCAGGAATCAATACTGCGCTCACGTCAACAGAAACCTCCTTTTGATCTTCCAGTCTACATCGTAATCCACCCATCTGTGCCCAGCGAGCTCGGCGAGGTCCGCCTCTTCTAAGGGAAACCAAGAATGCCTGGCTCGTGTTCTCCGCTTCTCTTTCCTAGAGGTCCCTTGGACGATGCGAGGCTGAAAAGCAGCTCAGTGTCTGCTAAATAATGGCGTTTGTAATTCAGCCTCTCCGCTAGGACTGCCCGACACCTGGACACTGGCCGCCCAAGGCTTTTGAAATTGGGTAAGGCGGGACGGGCGCGACAGCGAGGCTAACACGGGAAAATGCAGAAGCCGATCGAGCAGTCAGCACCCGCGGAAGGAATGGTCCGGGAGGCGCCGCGCTAACTCCGAACCCCGCCACCGCCGCCCCTCAGCCCAGGGCACACACCCCAAAA